CAGCTGATTTTTTGATTTATAGTAGAGATGAGGTCTCGCTGCCCAGGCGGGTCTCGAACCCGCGGGCTCAGGCAATTCACTCACCTCAGCCTCCCAAAGGCGCGGGATTACAGGCTGAGCCACCGAGCCCGGCTTATTGAAGTCTTTTAAAAAAAAAAAAAACCATTCTCTTCTTGTCTCCTAGAACATTTGTTACCGATTATTTTCTTTATACAGGTTTTTTTCTTAGCTTATAATATACAGAGACTTCAACTTTCTTTGTCTTTCTTATCTCACTAAATATTACTCCTAAAACAGATGTGTCTACTTCTAATGTTTCAGCTCTCACCTTTCTACAAATAACTCTTAAGTCTGTGCAGACCCAGAAGTCCAGCAGTTGACTCATCTCCACATATCCCTTTAACACCTCAGACTAATTATTTTTCATGCCTACTAGATCTACTTTCTCATAATTTTTTAGTATTTCTCTTAATGACTCCTCTGTCATCTAAGCTGGAAACCCAGAGTCATCTTATATTTGTCCTCCTCCTTATATTTGTCTTACACATTCAGTCTTCTCTCACCTGTGCCCTTTCCCAAACCACCCCTTAGCCCCACCATCTTCAGTCGTGTTATCACCTCTCATCCGGGCAATTGAAATAGCTTGTAATTAGTTTCTCCTCTGATTTGCTACAAAATTCTCTGACTTACTACCTCTGCGTTGCTGCAGTTTGTTTCCTGATTCAGGTATGTGATATTATCTTCCTGCTCAAAGTATGATTACCTTTTCCATTTGTTCATAACAAAACCCCCAAGGTTCCTGTAAAATTTAAGGTCATTCTCAACTTGGATCCAGCACACTTTATAGCGCGTTCATTTAGTTCTCTCTCCTACTTCATCTCCACTTCCACAAATACTTTTGCCTCCCAAACCCTAGAGTTTCCATCATTTCAGACTATTCCTTTTGCCCCAGATTTGTCATATATTCTGTAACCATGAGAAAGAAAATGTCACTAGAATGCATTTAATTTTTCACAAAAAGATGTGATATATAACATAAGTACTTTTAGTGTTTTTTAAGCACAAACTAAAAACTATTAGTATTTCTTGTTTCCATACCTTTTCAGAAATGATATTTCAGAAATATCATTTATTTTCTAGACTACATTAATTTGACTTAATTATTTTGCAGTATACATTTTGCAGTACTTTGTGTGTATTTTGAATCTCAATATCATTTTGAACTCATAAATATTTATAAAGTATGAATCCCTATTACTGGGCATTCAGTTTTGAACACGTGGAGTAACATAAATAAATACCAGTGTAGTTGATGTTAATTTGAGGAATAAAAATACAAAATGAGAATTGTATTAGCTGTTACACTAAGAATTAGATAAATGTGTGTGTGATAGCAAACATCTAAAATTGTGCCCTAAAATGCAGTTTTGGACTCTGTAGGTGACTTGTAAAGTGGAGATGCGTAGTGAATGTTGAGTTATGCCGAATTCAGATCTTGTGTCTAAAGCTGCCTCTAATAGCATTACTGCATAGATGTGGCCCCAGCTACTTTCGCAGGATGAGTTTAAATAGCTCTTTTCTGGGTGAATGTATCATACTGAAGTTTTATTCCAGGTACTTTGGACATTGTTTCCTCTGATTTAAGTTGTTAAATTTGTTAGTTGCTGATAACAAATATGTGCTACATGTAGTAAGAAAACAGGTAATTCCTGTTCAGGAAATTTCATTGTTGGATTGTAACATACTGCCATGGATGAATATTCCATAGCAGTGATGAATAACCTGTGCTTTTAGTTTAAAGAAAATACTTCCAAAGCTTATCTTCTGCCCATACAAACTCATTTCCCCTACATAAGGAATAGGATAGTGTAAATAATGTGGATAACAAGGTGCATAGTGAAGTTAGAAGTGCTCATTAGCCTAATCTTTTTCCAGGATGCTTCTTACAAAAGTAGCAAGCTGCGAGATTATCTTAGTGCCTTTACTTTGTAGCCAGAGCAGGTGATATAGCCGTGTTTAATGCTCAAAAATCAAACAGTCTGCTCCGGACGGACAAATTTAAACACTTGTTCTGCTCTTTCCTTCCATACACCTGTACCATTCCATTGCACAATGTTTTCCTTTTCCTATGGTTGTTCCTGTATTTGTTTTCTTATTATACTATAAAGTCTTTGAGGATTGGAACCAGATCTTGTTACTGTGTGTCGCCGTTACTTAGCAAACTCTACCTGTGGGCATTTAGTAAATATCTGTTGAAACTTGTCTTAAAAACAGCTGAGGTGAGTGGATTGCCTGAGTCCGCGGGTTCGAGACCCGCCTGGGCAGGCGAGACCTCATCTCTACAATAAAATCAAAATATTAGCCAGGCGTGGTAGCACGTGCCTGTAATTCCGGCTACTCGGAAGGCTGAGGCGGAAGGATCGTCAGAGCCCAGCAGGTCGAGGCTGCGGTGGCCGGGAGTGGCCACTGCACTCCAGTCTGGGTGACAGAGTGAGACTCCAACTCAAAAATAAATAAATTAATTTAATTTAATTTTAAAAAGTTTTTATTAAATAAAGCAATACTAAATAACCCAAATATTAATCTCTGCAAAGTCTTACTAGCTTTACATTAGCCTTCTCATTCTTACTGGTTTGTTATTGCGTAATATTATGTTCTATATTTGCCTATTTTATTTGTTTTGTTTCAGGGATGTTATTAGAAGACCTTGTAATTTGTATGATTTCAAGTTTTGATTTTGTTTTATAATTTTTTTAAAAAAGTATAATTATTAGTTATTATTAATTTATGCATTTAAAATACTGTTATTCTAGTTACAGATGAATCCATCCCCTCTTATTCTGCAAGCGAAATACCAAGAAATGACAGTAGCATGTGGTCAAAAGTAACTGAGGAAGGAACAGAGCTGTCACAGCAGCTTGTGAGGAGTGGTTTTGCTGGAACTGAAGTAGACCCTGAAAATGAAGAATTTATGTTGAACATTAGCTCTCGACTACAAGCAGCAGTTGAAAAACTTCTAGAAGCTATAAGTGAAACGAGTAGTCAGGTAAGCTCCTTATATTGCTAATATGCCCTGAGTTTGAGGTACAGTATGCTCCCCACTCATCACCTGAATTAACAGATATTTTCAGTGGTTGCTTTTCAGCACTTTTAAAGCTTGAATGCATATGCATCTTAATGATCCCTTTTATTCTGTGAAAGTTGTATAGTATAGTTTATTTTATCCTGAATTCCTACATGGTCCTACTTCTTGTTTATTTTGTTTTTTGCTTATTACTGGTATATTAGTATTTAATTTTTATGATTTGTACTTTCTTTGATACCATGAAAACGACTGTTAATACTTTTTCTTTCTTGACCACTATTAATTACCTTTGACCTGGATCTTGACCAGTGTTAATACTGTGGCTGCTACTTGATTCCTTTGTAAATTATGGATAGTCTAGTCAGTGCAGTATAGTATTTGACTTTTGATAAGCACCATGAAAAATGGTAAATAAATCAGAAGTGATTGTTGATTTCTACAGGCTACTTGCTCTGACATACTATTAGAGAGAAACTTCTCTATTATCTCTTAATACTGCCAGCAGTCAAGTGTAGAATTTACTTGAAACATTCAGTTCCCTAGGCCAAGACCACAACTCATAACAACCATCTGTTTATGTGACCAGGTAGTGAGGTACAGTAAGAGCCTGACTGTGACATTTTCCAGATTATTCTCAACTTGTTACATACTAAATCAGCACTATGTTATTTAGCATTTACTGTATTGTAACTTAAATATCTCTGAACACATCATAAGAGCTTTGTGTAAAGCAGTAGCCCAATGGCAGAGTCTGCTCCAAGTTCCACCCTGAGCCAGCAACATCAACATCACTTGGCCACCTGTTCATATGCAAATACTTAAGCCCTACCCCAAACCTACCGAATTTGGGGACCCAACAACCTGTGTTTTCATTAGTCCTTTAGGTGATTCTGATACACACTGAAGTTTGAGAACCACTAATCTAGAGATTATTAGTATAATGTTCACATTGTGCTGGCTTAATTTTGAAGTGCTCTATTAATGCCGTCTATATAAAATGTTGAACTAGTTGTTGACAGTAGGCATAAATAGTTGTAAAATGAATTAATTCTTAAATAATATTTTAAGGTAATGGGAAGAAGAAGCTTTGTAAAACTTTCTTTTAAACTAGTTCAGTTATTAATCTTCCATGGATAGATGTTTAATGCCACTGATTTCTTCAGAAGATTCTCGTTAATAACTAAAATTAGTTGAACTTGATAAATATTTTTAGTAGTTTGATTGACAAAAAATAATGCTTAATATGCTTGTAAAATAACTGGTTTTCCACTTTTAAATGTGTCATTATTTGGTTCTTCTTTATAATAGAATACTTCCCTTTAATCTTGATTTTTTTTTGCTTATTAAAATCTAAAACAAAGTTGGTAGGCATTGCTATATCTTTTGCACTTGCATTGAAAGAAAAACTTAGGAAAATAGCTCTGTGCAGGATACTCTGAAACTAAGGGAGCAGCATTTGACATTTTGGGGTAAGGCAGGGACAAAGTATATTGTAAAACTGGATGCTTGAGATGAATAATTCAGTCATGCAGTAAAATTGTGAGTACTTATAACAGTTGCTATTCTAGACATTGCAAGTATAGCAGTGAACAAAATGGACAAAATCTCTGCTCTCAGGAGCTTAGAAGTTAATGGTGGAGACAAGCAGTCTATAGGTACCTAGTATGTGGGATGGTGATAACTGCTGTGAAGAAAAATAAAATAGGGGGAGATAAAGTATGATGAGGAAAGGAGCATTTTTTATAGGAAAATTAGGGAAGGCCTCTTTGATATGGAATATTCAAGTGTATTCCTTAAGGAGGTGTGGAAAACCACCGTACAGATAAATGGGGGAAGAAGATTCATTTGGAGGTACAGCAAGTAAGAAGGCCATGAAGTGGTAGTTTGCTTGCTTATCTTGTGACTGACAAAGAGGCCAAGGTGACTAGAGTGAGGAGGGTGTCAAGAATGTGGACGAGGAGGACAGAGTGACATTGGGAACCATCTCACAAAGAGCTTTGGATGTAATTATTGATGAGATGTGGAGTGATAAGGGACAATTTTAAACACTTTATTTTAAAATAAAGTTAGACTTACAGAAAAGTTGCTAAAATAGTAAAGAAAGTTTCCATTTACCTTTCATTCAGCTCCCCCTAATGTTAGCATGTTGCATAACTGTATTATAATTATCAAAATGAAGAAATTAAAACGGGTACAATACTAGTAATATTAACTAAACCACAAACCATTAGGTTTTCACTAGTTTTCCCACTAATGCCCTTCATCTGTTTTAGGATGCTTTTCAGGATCCCACATTTCATTTAGTTGTCACATCTTCTTTGCCTTTTCTAGTCTCTAATAATTCCTGAATCTTTATCTATCATGACCCTGTCAGTTAAAAAGTACTAGTCAGTTATTTTGTGGAATTTTGCTCAGTCTGGATATGTTGTGTGTTTTCTCATGATTGCATGGAGCTTACACATTTTTTATAGGAATATCGCAAAAGTGATGTGCCCTTCTCTGTATATCACGTCAAGGGACACATGATGACGTTGTGTCTTATTACTGGTAATATTAATCATCATTGCTTGTAGTTCCTGCTGATTTTCTCAACTGTAACATTACTATTTTTCCTTTGTAATTGAGAAATGTCTTGGGAGAGTTACATTCATATTGTGTGAATGTCCTATTTCTCCTTAACTCCCATCCACTAATTTTTGCATCCCTTTGTGAATCTTGCCATTATTGTGATGTTCTAATGGTGATTTTCTGTTTTCCTTTATTTATTTGCAGAATTCTCTATAAGAACTGTTTATTCTCTCACAAATTATGTATTTAATCAGTATCAGTGTGGACTCATGGCTATTTATTTTACTCTGTGGGTTATAATCTAATACTGTAGTTATCTGTTTTGTTCTAGCTTTGACACTGAAAACTTTCAGGTTGGCTCATGTGCCCATTCAATGCACTTGCATTTTTGAGCATCTATACGCCAAGAGGCTCCAGGCCCATCTTGTATTTTCCCTAGCCAGTCCTAGAATAAATGGCTTCTCCGAGGAGCCTATGTTTCTTCTTGGAGAGCCAAGAGCTAGGTACTAGATGTGCTCACTATTACTAGGATATAATTACTTCTAGGTCCTTTTAGTGGACAGTTTGAAGATATGTGTATGCATACTAGCCTTTGTATCTATATACATATATTTATGTGTCTCTCTGTATATCTATTAATACCTGTCTGTCTGTATAGTTTAAAAACCCCATAAGTTTATACGGATACCTCCAGATCCAGTCCAATACCACAGCATGCATTTACCCTTCTCCTTTTCCTTTATAACTTTGTTCTCCAAAAGTAAGAAACTAGGTTTTCCTTATCCACATTATTTTTACTTATTTCTTTAGTGTAGTATACATATAAAGTAATTTCAGAATTGCTAACTTACACCCTGTGAGAAGCAAATTTGTTAACTAGAGTGCAGTACTTTTTGTCTTTAGCCTTATAATATATAGTCAAGATACAGTTTTTCAAATATCGTAGGTTAACTCTTTTCCTCACACTCCTTCAGGGTGGTTGTGTTATTCATTTTAATATAATTAGACTTATTTGTTATCATTTTTATTCCATTTTGGGTTCACTCACATTCTTAATTCTTAAAATTTATATATGATAAAATTCATTCTTCCTGTGGACAGTTCTTTTCTGTTGTGACAAATGCATAGACTCATATGTCTGTCACCACAGTCATGATACAGAATAGTTGAATCACCACAAATTCTGTGGGACTGCTCTTTAAAAGTCAGCTCCTCCTCCAACCCCTGCCCTATTTTGCCTTTTCCAGAGTGTCATAAATGAAACCATACCTTATATAGTCTTCTGAATCTGGCTTCATTGCCTTAACAAAGTGCATTTAAGATTTATTTATGTTGTTATGTGTATTAATAGTTTGTTCCTTTTTTATAGGTAAGGAATATTACATTATATTGATGTACCACAGTTTGTTTATCCATTCTCTGTTTAAAGGACATATGGATTGTTTCCAGCTTTGCATCATTATTTTTGAGTAACATTTTTCAAAATGATCACTTTTAGCTATCTTGTTAAAAATAGACTGGAGTGGGGGAGGGGATGGGGAGGCCTGCAGGGCAAAAGCATAGAAATTAGTTACAGAAGTCACTTGCCCAGGTTTACAAATTAGGTGGTAAAGTTAGAATTTGAACTCAGGCAGTTTGTCCTTAACCACCACAATTTCTGCCCTCTGAAAATGAAAGGAATGAACCTGTCAATTATTACTGATAGGTCATGTAAATTAAAGACTGAGGACTGGATTTTGAAATCTGTGGGTCATTGATGAGTTTACAAGAGCAGTTTTAATGGAGTAGTGGAAGTGAAAGCCTGATTCAAGAAAGAATAAGAGGAAAGAAAGTAAAGATATAAAAGACAAGTAGAAGTGTATAAAAGACAGGGCAGTCAAGAAAAAAATTTGTGATAAAAGACAGCATGTTGGTGTAAATTTCATCAGCCTGATGTATTTAAAGAGCTATATAGATAGTTTTGGGTTAATTTTTTGTTTTCTTTTGTTTTGTTTTGTTTGAGTTGGAGTCTCACTCTGTCGCCCAGACTGGAGTGCAGTGGCTGCTCCCAGCCACCGCAGCCTCGACCTGCTGGGCTCCGGCGATCCTTCCGCCTCAGCCTTCCAAGTAGCTGGAATTACAGGCGCGCGCTACCACCCCTGGCTGATTTTTTAATTTATTGTACAGATGAGGTCTCGCTGCCCAGGCGGGTGATGAACCCGTGGGCTCAGGCAGTCCACTCACCTCAGCCTCCCAAAGGCGCGGGATTACAGGCTGAGCCACTGAGCCTGGCTGTTTTGTGTTATAAATATCCAGGGTGGACCATGGGAAACTGGTGGAAGCTGAGAGTAGGAAGATAGGCAGTGGTCACATGTCAAAGTTCTTATAGACTAAGGAGTTTTAACTTCATGCTG